ACTATAGGAATATTTTATGATACGATAAGAATCGTAACAACAATGTTTAGGCCTAAAAATTTATTAGAACTAGTAGTCGTAAGGAACATTCTCACCATAATAAATCAAATCCTTCACATAAAAACTAAGGACCCTTACCGGTCGATCTATAATTGCAAAGTGTATACGTTAAGGTTACATATAATTAAGATTCTATAGACTTAGGATTTGTGATTCGGCTTTAAATCCTGTTCCTTGTTTAGTTGTGGGCTTAGAGTGGAGCTACTTATCCGACGGTTTATTCGATCTTGATTATCTCTTATCATCCTACCATGTGATTCTAAGCAGATCCTTACCCCTAATCTAGAATGATATACACATATACATATACTGAAACAATAAATATGTATCAATATTTTGGGAAATACTTACTTGAGCTCGGCTAACTGCATGCATCGTACCCTTTTTCAAAAAGATTACCAATTCCTCAGTTTAAGTTCATATACACCCGAGAGTGTGCCTGAATCCCTCAAACCAAGGCTCTGATACAAACTTGTAACATCCTAAAAATACTATGTAAAAAAATTAAGACTATTAAAACCATCATTCATTCATTCCAAAATCCATCAAGATGTGATAATGTATAAGATATGCATCAGAGTACAAATTATGTCATAAAATACAGAATATTTGTGGATGCGATGCGATCATGTCGGGCCCTTCCCTTTCGAACCAGAAGTACCAGAAATCATAAGCATAAATTGTAAGCATAAAGCTTAGTGAGTTTCCTCAAAATACCCCATACATAACATTCAGAAACTAAGTTGGGTCTATTTCAACTCCTTCGATATCTTTCAACCGGTACTGGGTCTATTTCATCACCATTGAGTCTATTTCAACTCCTTCAATATCTTTTAATCGGTATTGGATATATTTTAGCCCCTGAGTTTATTTCAACTCCTTTAGTATCTTTCAACAAGCACCGAGTCTATTTCACCCCTACAGCTAACCATGAAATAACATCAACAAGAGTCACAAAGATGACAAGCACATACATACATATCAATAAGTGTCACAAAGACAACTATCATTCTACAAATATAATTCAGTGGGTCGAAATTGGTGCCTTCGACCCACGAGTACAGTGAAGAGACTCACTATAAACGATGATCAATTTTTAATGCTCCTACTACTACGAAAACAGATGCTATATACCACCAATACAGTCATATAAAATACACCCTTAGCTTACCTTCCAAAACGAGGGTTTAACTAATAGTCAATGCAAGTCAAAAGTCAATGATCAAAGTTGATTTGCCATGTCATGGCCCTCAAACGACAAAACAGACGCGGTTTCCCCCAGTCGCCACGTTGTGACAACCTAGGACCATGTCGTAGGCACTGGGTTCAAAACATGTTAATGGGTTAAGCTGCTTCCTTCAGCTCTAAGAGCTCCAAAGCTCATATCTAGTACGAAATATGGTCCAGAAGGATAAAGTTTCCAACTTTATCCATTAAGTCCACCCAAAAGAACAAAATCACAAACCCTACGTTCCACAAGGCAAAAAAAGGCAAAGACTCAACCATTAAGCACTTAATCTCGAAGGTCTTTAGTCAAACTTCTCTAGAATACTCCTAGGATCCCTAATGGTCCATAAAAATCGAAACTTTATGGACATGCACGACCCATGTATGTCCTTCAAACTAGGTCAAAAGGGGATCAATATGACCCAAAATTCATGCATGGTTCACAACTTACCACATAATTTCAGATCTATAAGATATAACATTCAAGAGATAGAGAGAAACCATAAAGTTGAAAATTTTATCTCTTCTAACCATTCAAACCACTCCAAAAGGACCAAAACATGCCCCAAAACCTAGATCTATGAAGAAGAACACAAAAGGTTGAAGCTTGAGGATTTACAAGGAATCTAAAAGATGCACACAAATTGAGGAAATGATCACTTGCTAAACCAAAGCACTAACTCTTCTTTATCTTCCTTCGAAACCACCATAAGTTCACTAAAATGAGAAAAAGAGCACCAAGGAGGATTAGTGTTAGGGTTTCTAGGGTTTGAGAGTGATGGAGGTTGAGAACAACCAACCCCAACTTCCCGCTTTCCTTTAATACCCAGAAAATTAGGGTTTAAGGCGTTAGCGGCGGCCACGTCGTGGCCTTTACTTTCCACGTCATGTCGAGTAAAAAGAGACCTGGGACCAAAAAATGCCTCGCCATGCTGTGGCGGTCCTTCCCTACGCCATGGCGACTCCTAAAATCAATTTTTACTTAAAATAAAATATACCTTAAAAACTGGATTTTATATATATATATATATATATATATATATATATGTGTGTGTGTGTGTGTGTGTGTGTGTGTGTATATATATATGTGTGTGTGTATGTGTGTGTGTCTATATATATATATATATATATATATATATATATATATATATATATATAGAGAGAGAGAGAGAGAGAGAGAGAGAGAGAGAGAGAGAGCAAGGTTGAAAAAAACATTCGATGTTAGCTAGTTGGTGCACTGGGGTTAAGCGATTAATCGGTTAGGCGGAGATTAACTGGAGGATTAATCGGGGACCATTAATTGCTAATTTGCTGAATTTTAAAAAATTAAATATGACTAATATCATATCAAAGTTCATAAATACCAATAATATCATAACAAAATAGATTAATATGATTAATACAACACTAATCATGCCTCAAATAGTTTCCATTGATTTAAAAATTCTTCAAAATGTTAAAATTTCATCGTTTTATACTGTTTCACTCATTATGTATGTAGGGATTAATCGCTAGGCGCCCTCTAATCGGTCGAGTAGCGCCTAGGGATTAATTGGAGATTAATTGGGACCTAATCGGGATTTTTACAACAGTGATATATAGTGGAAAGATCAATAGAAAATACATAAACCTGTGGAAACCTTAAAACCTAGAAAATCAATACAAATACATAGAAAAAAAATACTTTCAGATATCTAATTTTTTTCTTACTTTTATCGGGCTAAAAATCATAACTTTTTATACCAATTCATTTAAAAGAAATTTGAAATATATATATATATATATATATATATATATATATATATATATATATATATATATATATATATATATATATATAATCTTTTTAGCGATTTTATGTAAAACGTAGCGACTTTTAAGTTTGTAAAATAATAAAAAAAAAAGATTGGATATCTCAAAGTATTTTTTTTAATACATTTTTAGGGTTTTTATAGATTTATGCATTTTCGATTGATAATTCCAATATATATATATATGTGTGTGTGTGCGCGCGCGCACGCGCGCGCGCGTGCGCGTGTAAAATAATAACAATAATAATAATAATAATAATAATAATAATAATAATAAGTTATCCTAAATGTTTATTAGAACTATTAAGTCTTGTTTACTTCGCAAAATTTGTCTAAAGAAATTGAAATTATAATTGAGAAATGAATATGTCGGGACAATTTATATATTGTTTGGTTGATAAAATGGAATTTAAATTAATTTCAGATTATGTTTGTTTTGTAGGAAATGAAATTGGAATAAATGTAAAATGAGAAAATTATTCTTTTGTCTATTTTATTTTATTTTCTAACCTATATATAACGATACATTATATAAATAATAAAAACAGTAAAATCTCGACAATGGCAACGGTGGTGGTGGTCGTGGTCATGGTGGCGATGGTGGTGGGTGATGATAGTGGTGGTGGCGGCAACGACAACGTAGTGATGGTGGGCAATGGTGTTGGTGGAGGTGTCGGCGACGGTGGTAGTGGTTACGGTGACGACGGTAGTGATGATGGCGACGATAATGGTTGTGGTGATGTTAGTGGTGGTGGCGGTAGTAGTGGATGTGATGGTGGGTGGTGGCGGTGGTAGTGGTGGTGGGTGATGGTGGTGACGGTGACGGTGGTTGTCGCGGCAGCCACGGTAGTAGTGGTGTGGGTGGATGGTTGTGACGATGGTGGTGGTAGTGGTTATGGGTGGTGACATCTGCGGCGGTGGTCGTGATGATGGTGGTGGTGACGGCAGCAGTGATTGTGGTTGTTTTAGTGGTCAATGGTAGTAATGGTGGGTGTTGTTTTTCCCCAAAAGTTTATTCTTATTCTACCAACCAAACGCGTTTTAAAGAAAATAATGGCAATAACTAATCACTCACAATTTTTTTTTTTCAAAAAATAGCTCAAAATACCCAAAATAGAAATGATTTTTTTCGGTGACCACCTACGAAAATCATGTTTTTTTCGTTAAATTTGAACATTCATAACTCTTTAATATATGTACTTTATTCAAGCTATTTTATTTTATTTTTTCTATTTTTATTTATTATTCTTATTTTTTTTTTTTACAATAAAGGATATGGATTGACTGTACACTTCAATTTTGAATGTGAGTAAGTTATATATTTTTAACTCCAATGTATGCTAATTGGTAAAAAATATTACAAATGACCCAAATTTAACCATTAACAACTCTTTTTGTTTGAGTTGATTTTTTTTCCATTATTTTCTTTGTAATAGGGACTCCTAATGGACATATCAAACTACCAATTTGAATGTCGGAAATCATATATTTTTAGCTTTAAATTACATACTTGGTGAAATTTATGAAAAAAAAAGTTTTAGATTTTGCATATGAATTTCATAACAATAATACGACCATTTGAGTTTTTCAGATCATAAGTTAACCTGCGAAGATTTTTCATAGAAGCGAAAATCTAAAAAAACAAAGAAAATTACAGCTATGTAGATTTTCAAAGTTCACAAAGATTTAAAAATCTAAAAAGACAAAGTAAATTACAGCTATGTAGATTTTTAAAGTTCACAAAGATTTTCACAGTATCTAAAAAAAATTACAACCAAACTGGATATTAACAGATGTTGAGGAGAGATTTTTTTTTTAAAATTCTTTTTGGCTATTGTTTTAATATAAACCATGGTTTGATTGTATTTTTTTCAAATTATAATGTTAAATGCATGATGCAATAAAATTGATTATGAAACCCACGGATTAGGAAGCAAGAGTCAACTATTGTTCCTTTCCATTGTCTCCATCGACCCCAGTTATTCCATTACTGATTAAAATTATCTTTGACTCACCAACAACAAGAACACCCAAATCACTCTAACCATTTTTCTCTCTTTCTCTACTGTTTTCTCATGCCATGATTCTTAGAGGGAGAGTGAGAGAGAATGATAACGGTGATCCAGAGAGCAGTTAAACCGAACACAATCTACTAACTTGGTATGGTTTCCCTCTTTCTTCAGTTAAACCCTGAAGAAAGAAAAACTCAGTTTTCATTTCTTTGAATACTCAAACGGGAAACGACAATGTTGGTCTCTCAATCGAAGATCGGTTGTGGCAATTCAAGATCCCAACATTGCAATTATCAAGGCACGTTCGATTTTTTGCTCAATTTCGTGTTCTGGCATTTGAATTTTGTTAGGGTTTTTAGTTGTAATCTTTATTTTATTCATCCGGTTTTCCTCTTCTTCTTCTTCCTCTTCGTACGATTATGTCAATTGTCGCTTTACAACTGACTGATTTAGCATTTCAATACGTAGAATCGAATCCGAGTAACTTCTGAATTTCAATTCCGTTGCCTCTTTTAGTTTGTGTTTGGTGAAACAGTCCACATACGAGTTCAATTAGTAAAAATCGGTAACATCAATTCGTTATACGACTTAATAATTCGCTGAATGGATGTGAAACTTTCCAGTTAATTGATCCCCTGATATGATCATATGAAGAACCAGAAGATTTGAACGATGAAATCCACCACTCCTCTTGATTACGCAGCATTCCATCTCTCACCAAAACGATCAAAGTGAGCTCTTTATTGACTTATTTCATTTCAATTGGTAGCTCTAAATCCTCATCCACTTACTTTTTCTTCGTTTACTTTTTCATATAGATGTGAACTATATGTGTCTAGTGGTGGAAACACTGAAAAGATTGCATCAGGTTTAGTGAAGCCATTTGTGAGTCACTTGAAGGTCGCTGAAGAACAAGTTGCATTGTCATTTCAATCTATAAAACTTGAAGTTGATAATCAAAAAAAGTTTGAAACATGGTTCACAAAAGGAACATTGGAGAGATTTGTACGTTTTGTTAGTACACCCGAGGTTTTAGAACTAGTGAGCTCCTTTGATGCTGAAATGTCTCAACTTGAAGCTGCTCGTAAAATATATTCACAGGTATGTAATTCTTTTGTATGCGAAGAGGGAATGGAATTGAGCATTACACCGGAATGGAATGTGATTCCTGACCTTCTTTTTCTTATTGTAAGTTTTCGTAAATAATTGTAGGGATCATCAAGCTTAGGAACAGGGGCGGATGCAACAAAGTGAATAACTCTCTTCCTTCACCTTTTTATTTATTTATTTTTTAATTTGAAAAATAATTTAGATTTCTTATATTGTTTTATTATAGGAAAGAACTTTTAAGGGCAATTGATGTAAGGCTGGCGACTGTGAAGAAAGATTTGGTTACGGCTTGTGGGCGGGCGGGGGCAGCTGGGTTTGACCATAAATCGGTATTTGACCTTCGATTCTTTGCAGAGAGGTTTGGTGCCACTCGTTTAAAGTAAGAACTCTTCACATTCCATTGCTTATGGAATGTTGTTAGACACTTGCTGTGATACCATGTTAGATACGTGGAGTCTCCTAAATAGCTTTTCAAAAAGCTAGCTTATAAACTACTTTTTTAGTTAACAAACACGATAACATAAAAAAGCTCGAAAAATAAGCTAGCTTATCAGCTAGCTGTGACGTGCCAAACACAACCTTAACCACTCACATTTTCAAAATTTTATAAATTAAGTAATTGTTAATATTAGAGTAAATTACACGAATGGTCCCTATGGTTTGGGGCAATTTTTACATTTGATCTCTAACTTATTTTTTTAACATGGAAGGTTGTTACTGTTTGTTTTTGTTGCGCGCTCGGTCCCCGTTTTACATAAAAAGACTATTTTGCTCTTGGTTTTTTAATTTATTTAAATGAACACACCCCAACCCCACTTCGGTCTCATATTATCTTACCTTATTTAGTCATCTTATTTAAATAAATTAAAAAATCATGGGTAAAATAGTATTTTTAGGTAAAACAGGGACCAAACGCACAATTAAAAAAAAAAACTTTAATGACCCTACAAATTGAAAAAATAAACTATGGACCAAACGTACAAATTACCCCAACCATTCGTGTAATTTAGTCTTGATATTATATATGAGTAACTAACTTTTTTTTAATTAATAAAAATCATTATTTAAAACAAAAAGTAATATAAGAAGGTAAGTAAATGGAACGTTTTGTTTATTAATATATTATGAGCAAAACGTTCCAGCTGATAGCATTTTTTTTAAAAAAATAATGTTTTTTAGCATATCAAATGGTTAAACAACCAACTTATAAGTTTAAAAATAAGGTTTTTTTTTTTTTTTTTTTTTTTTTTGGGAGATGGGTGGGTGGCAATAAAGTCTAACTTTAAGCTATTGAATTAGTTAATCATATTTTCTGGGCATTGCTACTTTCGCATTTCTTGCTCTAGATGCTACAACACTTTGCTTTTTTGGGTATACGCTACAAGGTTTTCTTTTTGGAATTTTTTGAGTTACGATGATCTATTTGCTAGTTATTGTAATTAAATCTGGATTGATATTGTTGACTTGGTTCATAAAATTCTTTGGTGTTGTTTATATTAAATGTTTAACATATGATCAATTTTATCAACCTTTATCATCAAACATCACATTTTTTGTGATAAACAACTTTTGTTTAGTTAATTTTACTCACTGTTCCATCTAATCAAAATATTTATTTAGACTTATTGCGCTAAAGTTAACCTGTAAAGATAATTAGCTCAAATATTTGAAAAATGATACTCCCCCAAAGAGGGTAAAATTTCTATATTGGGCTGCCTACGAAATGCATGATTTTTTTCGAAGTTCTTACTTTTTTAGTCCTATTTTTGTTTTTGTTCGTTAATAACTACGATTTTAAATTAATAACTTTAATTTTGAGCCGGATTATTTTATTCTTATTAATAATTAATAAATTAATAAATATTTCAGTGTAATTTTTGTTTATAAGAACCGTGAACCGGGGCATTGGATCCTTAGTTGGTGAAAACACTGGTGGGCCGTGGACCGGCCACGTGCATTATGTATGTTTCTGCATTCCGCCCATCACGGATCATTTGTCTTCAAACCGGTTCAATATTTTATATCATTTTAATAAGATTAATCAAGGCAATTTTTACTTTTTGGATCTTAAAATTAATTATAGGTTGTATATTTTGTCAATAACAGTCAATATCTTACCAATAAACGTTTAATAAAGATTACAGAAACTTGTGTTCATTTTAAATTGCTTGCTTTGTAATATTTTTGATGTATAATCAATCATATGAGTTCTCGTTTTCCCTTAAAAGAAAATATTATTGTACCATTTTGTCGTTAAAGGGTACACAATTCATATTAAAAAAAATGTGACATAACATAATGTGGAAAGATTCTACTTTGCGTTTGTTGTTTATTATTTCTTTTTCTTGAAAGCAAATTTTTAACACTCCTTCATTAGCAATTTGGTACTCATTCCTTTTCAAAAAAATATTCTTTTTTTATTCTTGACGCTTGAAAAGGTTGAAATTTCTCTTTTTTATCCTTAAATTATAACTAAATACAAATAAAATTCAAGACAACCAAGTCCTTTTTTCTATAGTATATTCAATAATTTTGCCTTTTACCTTTTTGTTAAAAAATTCTAGCTATTTCAACTTTTTACAATATTTATTTTAATAAGAAAAAATATTTAATGAAGAAAAAAAAAAAAAAACACATCACACGTAGAACTGGAAATTTTTCTGACAGCTACTGGCAGTTGCAGTGTTTTTTTCCATTCTTTTCGTCGTGAGGTTTAAATTTTTTCCAAATTTGATGCAGCGAAGCTTGTTCTCAATACATTTCACTCTACGACAGAAGGCCGGAGTTGTTCAACAATCCATCATGGAAGTCCGACGTCGGAGATCAAGCAATCCGGTCATCTTACACCTCCGACGACATGTCCTTCGAAGATGATCTACCAACCACCACCGCTGAACAATCTTCATCAACCACTCCCCCAGCCACCCAAATTCCTCTCCTCCGCCGCCAGCTTTCCTTTAAGAGGTGGTGGCGCTCATGCAGAGTACGACTCTGGTTTTGTGAAACCGGAAGAAGGTGGTGGCGCATCGGTACCGGTGCAGAGTCAGACAGCTACTCAGACGACGTCGTCTTCTAGGCGGCTCAGCGTACAAGACCGTATTAACCTTTTCGAGAACAAACAGAAAGAGGTGGGATCCGGTTCCGGTTCCGGTTCCGCCGCCGGAAGTGGCGTTGGCATCAAACCGGAGCTTCGTCGGCTCTCTTCTGATGTTTCACATTCTTCATCATCTCCTTCGCCTGTTTTGAAAAGATGGAGTGGCGACAACGAGAAGAAGGAAAAGGAAAGATTATAAAGATACACCGACTTCCATTAAAACTGAGGTCCCAAAAGATCAAACAAATACCATCATCGTACAGTTGACCGTTTCTTCTTCGGTCAAATCTGAAGAATCCTTGGGGTCAACATCATATCAGCCGACTTCCACTTTGGAAAAAACTCCGTCGTGGACATCATTAACCAAATCCGACGATGACGATTCCTTGACTAATTCCCAAATCAATTCCTTTCATGAACGATTTCACAAACCCGATCTAACAAGTAAACCCAATCCTTCATCTGAGCTAGATTCAGGAACGATGATGTTAAGTACTCATCCGAAGAAGACGCCATTAGATTCAGGATACAATACACCACCACCTTCTGGTAAATATTTCCATGGGGGATCGGGATCTGGATCGAGAAACATGAAAGGGAATCAAGAACTCAACGACGAACTTAAATTGAAAGCAAATGAACTCGAAAAGCTTTTTGCAGAGCATAAGCTTAGAGTTCCCGGAGATCAAACTAACGCTAGTAATCGTCAAATCAGAAAGCAGGTCGCCGCAGATCCTGTTCCTAGTCCTAATCCTACCCCTGAACCGCAATTAAGATCGGAAACGGAATCCCCAATTCCAATTCCGATTCCAGTGACAGAAGTTGAAATTCCTGATGATTCTAGAGGAAAGCTATACGATAGGTACATGAAGAAAAGAGACGCAAGACTAAAGGAATCATGGGATTCTAACGAAGCTAAAATGAAAGCCATGCATGATTCGCTTGAACGTAATAATACCGAAATGAAAGCAAAACTTTCATGGTCTTCAGATAGACAGAATTCAAGTGCTGAAAAACGTGCAGAAAGGATCAGATCATTTAACGCACCTTCATCTTCAAAAAGAGACGAGGTATCAACATCTCGTCATCATCTTCACTCTCCTTATAATTTTTATATTGCTTATACTTTATAAAACCTTACCACTTTAATTAATGGCAGCCACTGGATTTTGGGCAACAGAGTATTAAAAAACCATTACCAATTCCAAGATCAGGCACCAAATTGGGGTCGAGTTCTGGAAGAAGAAGGGTACAAAGTGATAATGTTATTGCACAATCTGTCCCTAATTTTTCTGATTTAAGGAAAGAAAATACAAAGCCTTATTATTCTGGAAAAGTGGGAGGTCGATCTCAGATGAGAAACTATACACGTAGCAGAAGCAGCAGTGCCAATGAGGAGACGCCACCTGTCAAAGCAGAGAAGCCAGCAGCAAAGCGGTTTCTAAGAAAGAACACAGGTATAGGACCTGGTTCGGGAAGTGTTGCTGCTAAAATGAAAGCTTCAATGGTAGTGTCTCAATCTATGAATGAAGAGGTAAATGTGATTGAAACAGTTGATGTTGAAGAAGAAGAAGAAGAAGAGTTTGATGATAATACAACGCAAGAAAAAGAAGAAGAAATCGAGTCAAGAATGAGTATTGAATCCGAAACATTGATTAATTCGGAATCAGAAATTGAAATTGAAAACAGCTCAAAAATCGAAAACATTTCTGATATAATACCAGCTGCTGCTGCTACAGTGAGTCCTCCAGATGAAAGCCCGGTGTCATGGAATTCTCGCTCCAATTACCCGTTTTGTGATGTGGATTATTCGCCTATGAGTATGAGTATGAGGAGTCCAGGGTTTAATTCAAATGAAACAACAGCTGACGTGGCAAGAATGAGGAAGAAATGGGGGATTGCTCAAAAACCTAGTCTTGTTGTCGTTCCCGATTCATCGGGATCCGGGATTCAATCTAAAAAGGATATGACCAAAGGATTTAAACGGTTGTTGAAATTTGGAAGGAAAACTCATAGTCAAAGTCAAAGTAGGTATAACGAAAGTTTGCCTGATTATATCTCTGCTACAACTTCTGAGGGAGATGATGACACTGAAGATGGAAGAGATCTTGCAAATCGATCTTCAGATGATTTGAGGAAATCAAGAATGGGATATGAACATGATTTGACCGATTATTATGCTGATCAAGGTAACCTACTTTTCTTTTTCTTTTTATCTTTTTTAATTTAAAAATAAATAAATTAAATGGAATTTTTTTTTTCTTGGAAATTTCAGTGCATACATTGCAAAGTTCGATCCCAGCACCTCCGGCAAACTTCCGGTTGAGGGAGGATCATCTGTCTGGAAGCTCCATTAAAGGTGCTTTTTTATAATTATTAATATGTCATTCCATTTTTTTTATTAATAATCTTAAAGAAACCATTTTCTTGGTGAAATTCAACAGCTCCTCGATCATTCTTTTCTTTGTCAACATTCCGAAGCAAGGGAAGTGAATCAAAACCAAGATGAGTTGAGTTGGTGGTATGATTTATGAAGGTGTAAAACATTTGATCGTATTCATAGGTACATATATATAAATACAAAATGGTTGATGGAGTTCATCATTTATATAAGATCTTCATCATCATTGTTATGTATATCTTGGTGGATTTGAATGGGATTTTGTGGCGTATTCTATTTGATGAGCAAGAAGAAATCCAAAATTGGTGGAATTTTGTTGATTTGGATATTCTTCGTTTGCACAAGTATCATTGCGTGTTGGATTTTTGTTAGTTTCTTTGTTTTCGAGTCATAATCATGATTGGAAGGATGAATCTTTGTTCGGTTTAGTAAAACAAATGGCTACAATACAAATACAAATACGATATATATATATATATATATATATATATATATATATATATATATATATATATATATATATATATATATATATATATATATATATATATATGAGAAAAGTGAATATGTGGCTGTCATGTATGTAATATTAGGTATAGAATCATTAAAATTGACTTCATTTTGATCAAATAAACACAATTTTTGACATTGTTAGTTTCTTCCTAGTCCTTTTGAGATCATATTATTTTTGATTTCATAATTTATCCCCAACATCTAGGTATTTCGAATGTGTTTTTTATATTACACATCTAGCAGGTTTCATAACCTTCATTGACACCAACCATATGTACACTTGCATGGTTCTTCTTGATGTATTATGCGAAGAAGTTTATTGTGTTTTTAATGAATAATTTAAATCGTTCACTATAGTTTTATATTTTAAATTTTAATATGAATATTTATAGGTAGTTGATAATGTATTCTTATTCATGGTTTGTGTTGCAAAATTAAAAATTTAAAACTCCACAAAAGTATGTAGAAAGCCTATCATCTAGTATAATAGAGAATACAAGAAAGATGGTAGAGAGATTTGATCGTATTTTGTTAAAACTATGTAGTTTTTAATGGTTTTATACCTAATATTAGGTACATAACAACCACATATTCCCTAAGCCCTATATATATATATATATACTAGGTTTAAACCCGTGGAAATCCACGGGTGATAAATTGAAATATAATTATAGTTTTTAATTTGTAACAAAAAAAAGATATGAAAGTTTAGAAAAAATGAAGAATAGTGATATTAGCATTAATATGAATAAGTCAAATACAATAAAGTTGTAAAAATTAATTAATTAATATGATAGATGAAGTACGATACAAGAAAAGTAAATAAAAGATGGTAGAAAAGTAAATAAAAGATGGTAGAAAAGCATTGTTTATAAATTCCCAAAAACTTCCTTATAAACGACATTGGAAGTTTTATTTGTGAGACTACCATCCTTATCTAAAATTAACAATTTTAATTCGTCCCTACTTTGGACTCTAGATAAAGCAACATACAATTGGCCATGTGAAAACACGGGATGTTTGAGAAACAAACCAACCTTGGATAATGACTGTCCCTGACTCTTATTAATGGTCATTGCAAAACATACAGCCAATGGAAACTGTCTTCTTCGAAATTTGAATGGAATTTTCTTTTCTGATGGAGTTAAAGACATTCTTGGAATAAAAGTGTGGTTTCCAATATTAGTTCCAGATATGATACGTGCCTCAATAACACGTTTGCCCAATGAAATCACCTGGAGTCTTGTTCCATTACACAAGCCGTTTTTCTGATCAATATTTCTCAGCAACATAACTGGAACACCGATTTTTAAAACTAACTTATGGTTTGGTAAACCCGATACTTTCAGACCATTTAAAACATCAGGTGAATATAAATTTGCATCAAATTGATCATGGAGAAATTCAGATTGGCATATACTATCTGAACTTAAGTATTCAACCTCATCTCCTGGAAATTTCAATAGCAAACGATCGTTTATTTCTTGAACCACTTCGTTCTTTGGAGCAAGTATTGCTCTTTCTTGAAAATAGCTTGTATTGTTGTACTTTTCCAAAATCGAAGGATATACAAACTCGATTAATGAACCTATAGGATCATGTGCATCATTAATGAGATATAAAAATAAGGGATAATGACTTGAAAGGGTAACAAACTTTCGATTTTATTCACATTTAATCACTAAATTTTTTTTATTCTCTAGTAGGTGTCAAACTCATGTATTACACAGGTTGCTTTAAAAAAATAATAAACATTAAACTAAAATATAAACAAAAAATATTTTTTAATGTACAACTTTAAAATAAGAAATGAAGAAACGTATTTATTGCAATTTAATATTATATATATATATATATATATATATATATATATATATATATATATATATATATATATATATATATATGATATTTAATGTTTTACATATATAAGTATCTTATATATGATTTTAATTTTAAAAAATGAAACAAACCAAAAACTTACAAGTGAATAATATTTATTTCAAAAATACCATAAAATGACAAGTATCAAAACTCATGAAAGATTGACATGTGGCAAAAAAAACCTTCATTTATTAAGAAGGATTTGTCACTGAACTATTGAAGCTGATCACATTTTGACCTTATGACCGGTAGCAACTGATCATAAGAGTAAATGTGAACAATTTTAATAGTTCAGTGGCAAATATAGAATAAAAAAAAGTTTAGTGATTAAATGTGAACAAAGTTGAAAGTTCTTTTCCCTCTCAAAAAGTTCAATAACTAAATGTGAACAAACTTTCCTCTTGTATTATGGTTTAGCAAATTATGTATTTTTGTTAAATTTTAACAACATTTGTTGATGAACAAATCTATGAAAAAAAACCTTGAAAAAGATATATAAACACAAAACGAAACCTAGAGTGGTAGAAGGGAAATTTTGGGAAATGACAAAAAATAGAGGTGTGGAAAAATGACCCAAGAAAATGGATATTTCAGAAAATAACCATGAGTTCTGCAGAGAGGGTCTCTGCATAACTCCTTCAACTCTGAGGAATTGGAAAAGTTATGGGGAAGTGACGTGATAGGGGTAAATTCATAAAATAAAACTTAACAAAATTGAGAGTGTGCTTCGAAAAAATTGTGTTTGAACTTATCAATATCGAATAAATTGTGTTTGAAATCGTTTGAATAAATTGTGTTTGAAATTGAAAATATTTACCAAAATCGTATTTTGACCATGATTATGCGAAGAACAATTTCTCAGAGGTATGTGTTTGAAGAACAATTTCTCAGAGGGTCCCTCTCAAGAATTGTTCGTCATATAACCATGGCTCAAAAATGATTTTCGTAAGTGTTTTTTTGTTAATTTATCGAGGTTTCATCATTTCTCATATATCATTGATTCAATATAACAAACTAAATTATAAAACTACATTTATACGATAATTATTTCGCAACGCCCTTTCAATTTTGTTAAGGTTTTTTTTTCTTAATAAATTTATCTGTCATGTCACTTCCTCACAAATTATGATATTTTTTGAAACATCCATTATCTTGGTCAATTTTGTTAAGGTTTTTTTTTCTTAATAAATTTATCTGCCATGTCACTTCCTCACAAATTATGATATTTTTTGAAACATCCATTATCTTGGTTATTCTTTTAAAACATCTTTTTTTTTTTGTCAGTTCATAAATTTTGCCATGATAGAAACTCTGATACGAAAATCCAAACGTGATCCATGATAAATATTCTGTTACTTCGTCATTTTCTATTTAAATATATTAAAATTAACTAGTACTACATATTTATAATTAGTGAAAAAACATGAGATGCGCCAAATATAAAAACAAATCCATTCAACAACATTGGCAAACACAATGCACATTTGAGCTTTCTACAATGTTACAAAAAACAACTATCATTGCGGAGAAAACATAGCGTCTCTTTCATATTTTGATTAATTTTCTACCCAAAATCACTCTCACATTCTGCATGTCATCCACCTCTTTCTTCCATGGCTGAATCCTCTTTCGAGATGGACTTATCCGCCACTGACAACCGCCGCCGGCGGCCTCGCCACACAACTCCAGCTCAGCCCCACCACTCACCAGCCTTCTCGTTTTCTAGCTCTCACACCTCTCCACACCTTCCTGCTTCACGTAGAACCCGAGCTACACGTGTCCCACCCACCACTCCTTTCGCCTCAGACACCGACAAGTCATGGCAAGCTGAACTCTCATGGCAGTATGAACCCACCGGCTTCCACGACAACCGCGGCAGCAACCTTGGCGCCGCATTAACCCCCTGGGCTGAACCCAGCCAGTCCTACGTCGCATCCACCCCTGGCAGCCGTGTATTTCGCCGATCAGCAAATGACTACTTCCTTTCCCGTAACGCCGCTGCAGGCGGCGGCGCTGGCGGTGGTGGTGGTGCCAACTTTCGTAGCTTTACAAATCCGTCGTATGAACATTATTCCGGTCACAGCCGCTTGCCAGGTAGGATCGAACTCCAAAGCTATGTTGGGAAAGGTAACCCTAACAAAAACAATCCTACTCTCAGCAAGACTGCTACTTTCGCAGACATGGTTACTAATACAGAAAGAACAAAAGGTCGTTTAGATAATGGGCTCAGTCCAAAACTTTCGAGTCCTAGAAAGAGTTATGGTTATGGTGAAGATAGTCAAAAGCTTTCGAGTCCTAGTAAGAGTTATATTGACGAGTTTGATGTTGATGAAGATGAGGATGATGATGATGATGAAGATGAACATGTAGCACCAAAACCGATTGGGGTTTTTGGGTTGTTTAAGTATTCAACAAAACTCGATATTTTTCTTGTGATAATAGGAAGTTTGGGAGCTTTGGTCAATGGAGGATCTTTACCTTGGTATTCCTTTCTTTTCGGAAAGTTTGTCAACAAAATTGCTTTAGACGATGACAATGACCAGATGATGAAAGACGTCAAAAGGGTAATAAAATCGTTCTCTTGCATGTTATGCTAATTTCTAATTTATTCATATGAATTCATCTAACTAATTTCTGTTTTTAATCATATAACTTCAGATATGTTTATTCATGGTGGCGTTGTCTGGATTAGTGGTGATTGGAGCATACTTACGTAAGCTTTTGACATTCTATAAGCATGCATGTGATTTATAGTTTTCTTATGAAACTATTTACACACGTTTTATGATTCATAGAGATTGCATGTTGGCGACTAGTGGGGGAACGATCAGCTCATAGAATAAGAACCGCATACCTAAGATCAGTTCTACGCCAAGACGTTGCATTCTTTGATACAGAAATTAGCACCAGTGAGATCATGCATGGAATCTCAAGCGATGTTGCTCAAATCCAAGAAGTTATGGGAGAGAAGGCATGTACAACTTTCAAGTATTTATCATTTTGAATTATATGTTTTTATATATAGAGTCTCCCTTCTCCTTAAGGGCTCTTTTGAAGAGAAAATCCATGACTCCACATTTCTAATAACATGTTGGTGTTTTTGAAATATAGATGGCGCATTTTATACATCACATATGTACCTTCATTTGTGGCTACACAGTTGGATTCATAAGGTCTTGGAAAGTCTCTTTAGCAGTTCTTGCAGTTACTCCACTAACAATGTTTTGTGGTATGGCATATAAGGCGGTTTATGTCGGTTTAGCTACAAAAGAAGTGGTACAAACTTATAAAACAACATTCACGACACACCATTTGAGTTTTAAACATTTTTCAACTATTTGTTTCGTATTTTCTCACAGAACTCTTACAAGAAAGCCGGTGGCATAGCCGAACAAACCATAAGTTCAATCAGAACCGTGTTTTCTTTCGTAGCTGAACAAAAGTTAACAGATAAATACAATATGTTATTGGAAGAATCGATTCCTGTTGGAAAAAAACTCGGTTTTGCAAAGGGTATAGGAATTGGTGTTATATATTTGGTTACTTATTCAACATGGGCATTGGCTTTTTGGTATGGATCAATTTTGGTTTCAAAAAATGAGTTATCTGGTGGAGCAGCTATTGCTTGTTTCTTTGGTGTGAATGTTGGTGGAAGAGGTTTAGCTCTATCGTTATCTTATTATGCTCAATTTGCACAAGGGACTGTAGCAGCTAGTAGAGTGTTTGAAGTTATTGATAGAATCCCAGCAATTGATCCGTATTCTAGTATGGGAAGAAGGCTTTCGGGTGGACATGGAAAGATTGAGTTCAAGAATGTTTCTTTTGCTTACCCATCTCGACCCACTCTTCCAATTCTTAATTCCCTCAATTTGGTGATTCCATCTCAAAGAACTTTGGCGTTAGTTGGTGCTAGTGGTGCTGGGAAGTCAACTGTTTTCGCTCTTTTAGAGAGGTTCTATGATCCTAATGAGGGTAAGTTCTCTTATCCTCTTTAACCTTAAAGAAAAACCAGACATCCATAAAAACAAAAGTTTTCATTATATGATAAATTGTTACAATCAAACCGACACAAAATGGAAACAAATAGTGTTCAATACAAAATTATTACAAACCACAAACTATTATTTCCTTTACTTTAATGAATCCTTAACGGTTTTAACTATAGGATAAAATGTTAAAAACCAGAACGAATTTTTTTTACTATATGATAAATTGTTACAATCAAATATGGAAATAAAGCATGTTGTATGCAAAATTATTACTTTTACTTTAGTGAATTCTTAACGGTTTTAACTATATGATAAATGGTTAAAAACCACTGGCATCCAGAGAACCAAAGTTATATGATAAATTGTTACAATCAAACTTATCCAAAATGGAAATAGACAATGTTGAATACAAAATTATTACAATACAAACCACAAATTATAACTTCTTTTAGTTTAAGGAATTCTTAACGATTTTAATTTGCACAGGTGTTGTGAAGTTGGATGGTCACGATATAAGGACTTTGCAAGTGAAATGGCTAAGAAGTCAAATGAGCATGGTGGGTCAAGAGCCTGTTCTATTCGCAAACACAATTCTTGAAAACATCATGATGGGAAAAGAAAATGCCACAAAGAAAGAAGCAATCACAGCTTGTATTGCATCAAACGCACACAAATTCATAACAAATTTACCCCAAGGGTATGACACACAAGTTGGGGATAGAGGAACACAGCTCTCAGGGGGTCAAAAACAACGTATTGCATTAGCTCGAGCCATGATCCAAGACCCAAAAATCCTTCTTTTAGATGAACCCACAAGTGCACTTGACCCTGAATCCGAAACTCTTGTCCAACAAGCCATTGATAAAATTTCAAAGAATAGAACAACAATGGTGATCGCTCATAGGCTAGCAACCGTAAGAAATGCTGATAGGATTGTTGTCATGGAACAAGGATCGGTAATTGAAAGCGGCAATCATCAACAACTCATGGAGAGAAAAGGAGCTTATTTTGCTCTCATCAACCTCGCATCTGAAGGTGTCTCATCAAACCCTAATAATGGTGGACAAAAAAGAACGACTAGTGCTCAAGATCTTTTGAAATCGAATCATGTACAGGAGATATCAAGATCAGAATACATGCAATCTTTGAATGAAATAGACGAAGTGGAAACAGAAAAACCAAAAGGAAAAAAATCAGGATCGTATATGATTTCGGAAGTATGGAAATTACAGAAACCGGAAGGCGGAATGTTGTTTATCGGGATTATTTTGGGAATGGTGGCAGGGGCAATTTTGTCAATCTTTCCATTGGTTTTAGGTCAAGCACTTAAGGTCTATTTTGATCCCGACCCTGAGAAATTGAAAAGAGATGTTAGGTATCTTTGTCTGATTTTAGTGGGGCTTGGAATCGCGATTATTCTAGCTATGACAGGTCAGCAAGGGTTCTGTGGTTGGGCGGGAACGAATCTCACTAAACGGGTCCGGAATGTGCTATTCCGTTCCATTTTGAAACAGGAACCAGGGTGGTTTGATTCCGATGATAATTCAACCGGAATTCTCGTTTCCAGGCTTTCGATTGATTGTATAAGTTTCAGGTCAGTTTTAGCCGATAGATATTCGGTTTTATTCATGGGTATGAGTTCGGCTGCTGTTGGACTTGGGGTTTCTTTCTATCTTCAATGGAGGTTAGCTCTTATGGCGACTCTTCTCACTCCTTTTACACTTGGAGCTAGCTACTTTACCTTATTGGTCAACATTGGACCAAAGTTGGATAATGGATCTTATGATACAGCCACTAGAATTGCTTCGGGGGCTGTATCAAACATTCGGACAGTTGCAACTTTTGCAACTCAAGAAAAGATTGTTCAATCGTTTGAGCAATCTTTATCAAACCCTAAGAAAACATCAGTAAGGAGATCACAAATCACTGGAATGGCGTTAGGGTTTTCACAGGGTGCAATGTATGCAGCTTATACTGTGATTTTATTGTTCGGGGCTTACCTTGTGAAACGAGGTGACACTTCGTTTGGTGATGTTTACAAGATTTTCTTGATTCTTGTTTTGAGCTCGTTTTCAGTTGGTCAACTCGCGGGTCTTGCTCCGGACACGTCAGCAGCTTCGACAGCGATTCCGGCTGTTTTTGGTGTTATTAGTCGCGTTCCATTGATTCGTGGGAAAGGGAGAAAGATTGAAAGCTCGAAGATGTTTGATGTTGAGTTCAAGACGATTACCTTTTCATATCCTTCGAGGCCGAATGTGATTGTGTTGAGGGATTTTAGTTTGAAGGTGAAAGGTGGAACCATGGTGGCGGTGGTCGGAAGTAGTGGCTCCGGGAAGTCTACTTTGATTTGGTTGACACAGAGATTTTACGATCCGATTAAAGGTAAGGTTTTAATGGCGGGAATTGATTTGAGGGAGCTCGATTTGAAATGGCTACGATCTCAAACGGCTTTGGTGGGTCAAGAACCGGCATTGTTTGCGGGTACGATTCAAGAAAACATCGGATTTGGGAACCCTAATGCTTCATTTGCAGAAATTGAAGAAGCTGCGAAAGAAGCTTACATTCATAGTTTCATCTGTGGACTCCCTGAAGGCTACGATACTGAGGTATGTATTCGAGAAATCATCCGATTTGGGAAACCCTAATTTGTATTTTGATTATCGAGATTTTGTTTTTGGTAAATCGTAATTAGGGTTCTACATTGTAGGTGGGTCAAAGTGGGGCTCAATTATCCGGAGGTCAAAAACAAAGATTAGCAATCGCAAGGGCGATATTGAAGAAATCAAGAATACTATTACTAGATGAAGCAAGTAGTGCACTCGATTTGGAATCAGAAAAGAATGTTCAAGAAGCGTTTAGGAAGATTACCAAACGGACGACCACCATTGTGGTGGCGCACCGCCTCTCCACCATCAGAGACGCCAATGTGATAGCGGTGGTCCAGGAAGGGAGGCTGACGGAGTATGGAAGCCATGATAGGCTTATGACTTCACATCATGATGGTGTTTATGCTAGCCTTGTCCGTGCTGAAACAGAAGCAAATGCTTTTGCATAAGTGCAAGCAGGATATATCTATAGATTTTGAAACCCCATCCCTTGATGATCACAAGCTATAACATTTTTACTGTAATTTCTTTTGGTGATCATGCATTCTTCCATTTTTGAAATTATGGTTACATGAATAATTAAATAGACTAATAGTTAATGTGCACTTCTCTTTTCTCTTCTACCAAAAAAAGCCCACAAATAGGGTCATCATTTGGACCAAAACAGTTTCGTAGAATATTGTGGATTTAGGATCCGACTGGAAGAGGTTTTATCGAGTTGAGTTTCGGGTTTTCCAAAACAGTTTCGTAGAATATTGTGGATTATGGATCGGATTGGAAGAGGTTTATCGAGTTGAGTTTCGGGTTTTCTGTTTCTTGGATCGGTACAATTTTACATGCATACGGTAAAACTCATTAAAATGGGTTTTTGGATTGGATACAACTCGTTAAACGAATATAACACAAAAAACGATAAAATTAGGGAAATCTTAAGAAAAGTCCCAAACTTTTGGGGAAGTTTCAATAAAGTCTAAAAAAAAAATTGAACAGAAAAGTCTCGATTATTTAACATTTTGCCAAAATTAATGAAAAAGTCATTTTAATATTTAATCAGCAAATGACAGATTATATGATTTTCTCAAAATAATGAGACTTTTATGTTCAAAAATTTTCTTTAAGGACTTTTTTGGAAATAATCGTATGTCAATCCAAATTAAAACGAATGAAATGTTTTTTTTTTAAGATTTCACAGAATATGACAAAACTGATTTTGGTTGAGAGAAGTCAGAACGGTCGGTTCTCTTTTGTTTCTTTCTATGCAACGTGCGAGAGGGCAAGGTGGAGTACAAGAAAGTGTTATTGTTGTCGTACGTGTTATAGGAGAAAGGTTGTACGCAATTGGTCAAAATCAAATGGATAATTAGAAAAAAAGATTTGAAAATAATTTTTTTTTCTTTTAATAATCCGGTTAAAAACCGGTTTTTACCTGGAACCGACCGGATCCAGATTGGACTAGTAAAATATTCATACCAATTTTGATCAATTCCTAGAATCGAGAATCGGTCCGAGGGTCAAAAAAATGGTTCAGGTCTAGGTCCGGTCCACCGGTCAAAATGCTCACCCCTACCCACAAACACACATGAATAATTTCTAAACAAAAAAACATTCGCTCATCATTCATCATATTTATTCAATACATAATTCATTTTATGTTTAATATAAGAGATTACGGTGATATGTATTCGGAAATTCATTGTCTACATTAGATTTTAGAATATTTATGTTAACCATGCATGAAATCAACATATAGTTTCTAACAAAAGAGAAGTAATCCACAAGTTGGTTTTTGATATTGAACTAGGTGTTGCACCCGACATGTTGCTACAAAAATTCTATTTATCTACAATAGGCAAGAGATGGTTATAGTAGTAGTAGTTCAATTATACAAACTAGTCACTAGTATTGATATACTTAGATGGATTTTTTAAAATACATTGTTATAGAAGGGAGAAATTAAATTATGATGCTATAATCAACTAATGAATGTACGTATATTTGTATTTCTTTAATTTAAAGCTAAACAAAACATTATAGAATGTCTTGAAAAGTCTTTAGACAAACAAATTAATTGAATTAGTAAGTGATACCTTTGAAAGGAGACTTCGCAATAAATAAGTCCTTAAAGAAGTCGTCAGATTCTTCAAACTCAGTACGAGGCCAAGCGTCTAGTCCATTGTTTTTGAATGAGGATTGCACCGCATTTTGATGTAGATGTTGTGACCATATATGGATAAATAACATAATACAATATATTGTTTGCATTGATAGATTACTTGAAACGCCCGTGAATTCACATTTTAAGTATTAGAAATTATAAATAACTAGATGTGTACCCACGTAAAGCGACAACAATAAATAGCTCTTTTCACGAATAGTTTTCTTACGTGAAAATATTTATTAGATTTTATTATTGGTTATTATGTAAAAACAATTATCACTTTTAAATAAAATGATTATGTTTAGACCTTATATTTATATTGCATGTTTATACATTTAATGTACATTAATTAATATCAAAGTCTTTTTTTTAGTAAACAACACGAAATTGGTACCGGTGTTTAGTTTAAAAAAATTTAATTAATTTATATATACATGTTTGATATTTTTAAAATTATCATTTTGGTCCAAATTAATTTTCTTAATAACCTTCCTTAATTCAAGTCTTCAAATTTTTAGCAAGTAATAATGATATTTATGCAAAACTGATTTGTACAAAAAACTTTGTAACTTATAACTCTTAAAATTCAAGATCTGACTAATATAAGTTAAAATACAACATAAGATTGTGTCACCGAACAATTAAATCTTCGAATATGATAATTGTAAATAAATAAGAATCATTCATACATGATACGAGTTATATAAATGGTATTTATATATATTGTGCACATATTTTATAGACAAATATTATGGGCTTATAATATTTGTATAAAACCTTATTATAAATTTAACAAAATTACGTTAAATAAAGTTTAAATTAAAAGATTATTTAGAATAAATAATCTTAATGAAAGTTTTAGTAGTCGTAATGGTGATTCCATAGGTATAAAGAAATCTCAAATCTGACTTCATATGAGTAAATTATGATTTTTCTAAGTTTCGCGTTCAACCCGATACAATAATATGCGCCATAAAAAGTGAACCGGAGATAGGTTGGTTTTTAGACAAAGTAATGTAAAGGAAACTCAAAGTCCTCTTGAATACAAGATTATTCATAACATGAATGCCTAAATCTGACTTCGTATGAGGAAGTTATAATTTTTCGTGACGACACAATACTATAGTATGTGTCATAGAGTACGAAATAAAGATCGTTCGCTCGTTAGATTAAACTATCTTAACAAAAGTTGGTGTCTATGAAATTACGAATCTATCGATATAGAGAATGTCGAGAACAGGTCTTGTATGCGAAAGATATGGACGAAACTTGGTCCTTACTATTAACACGCGACGAATTCAATACAGATTTGTAAATTTGAGATAGAATGAGAATTAGCCGATGTATTCTAAACGAAAGTTATAGTACTTGTTGCAAAATCAGGGATATAAAGAACCTTGAAAACGGAGCTCATACATGGAAGATATAGACAAAAAGTGGGGCCTACTCTTGGGACGTGGTGCACCCTATAAAAGGCGTGATGGGCCCCGTGTCCAGATCCTTATAAATACAAGTCTTATTTTGTTCATTTGTTGCTCATCTTTTCTTAAAATTCTCTCTAGAAATTCCATTTCTTACATGTCCATTTCCTCTTAGTTTTTAGAGTACTTTAATGAGGTTTTGCGGTGTCAGAGAGCCGACGAAAAGAAGTTTTCAGAGTCAAATTTCTACACATGAACTTTCTAAACTTCTGCTAGAAAACCTGATAAATTAAGTTGCACTTACTACGCTTTAAGTACAACTTATATTTATGTTCATAGTCGTTATTATGAGCTTAGAAAGAGGATTTATCAGTAATATCAGTCGTTATGTTGATCGATGTACTTAAGAGAATGATGTCTATGCTAGATATATGAGGTGTTTAAAGTGGATTTTCCAAACAATATATATTGATATGCCAAATGGATCATATCTCTGATACGATCTTACGTGGTTATTTCTTATCAACTATCAGTAAGTATTTCTTTTGGGGTTATTGATAAACCTGAGAAAAACATTATAACGATTAAACTTTATAAATACAAATGAATACTAAAATTTATTAATATTCATATTTAGGTCATTTTAAAGGGAAATCTGAAGTATCAGTCAAAGAGTTGACTTTCACGCAAGTCTTTCACCTTTATCAGGTGAGTGCATAGTTAATTTCATGAACTTGATTTTAATACAAGTATTTATTAAAATTATTTAATATATGTTGAAAGTTTATACATGAATTAATGGGAAAACGATGCATATAACCTACGAACTATTTAGGGTTTACGCTTTTAGTCA